CCATCAATTCCTGGGGCCTTGTTTTTTGCCGATTCCTTCAGAGCAGCTTGAACTTCTTTCTTCATCACCATTAACGCTGATCATTCTGTTTCAAGAAATTCTTCATGTCAGCCAATTCTTTTTGGTGACTCTGTGTACTCCTTTCTCTTTTGCTGCATCTTGAATCATTCAATATTCTAACCATGTTGCTGTTGATTGTCATCGAGCCCATGTTGTTGTTGTTGTTGTAATCGTCATTGAGCTGAGCATGACTCACAATGACCCTATGAACAAAAGGCCTGAAGTCTTCCTATAACTATTGTTGTTTCTCAAGGATCAGAGTTTCCAGAGTCATGTTGTTTAGGATGTGGATACCACTCCTGCTTGCAAACTGGAAGCTCCACCAAACACTGTCCACCATGGGTAATGGTTATGCTATTTGACATCCCAATGACACAACGTTCTGCATCACAGCAACTCCAGGTTACCTCACTACAGCATATTGGAAGAGTGCTATACCACTTAGAAGAATGCTCCTCCAAAATAGAATAACAACCAACTTTTAAATACAAAGGCCATCTCTGAGGTCTTGTTGACTTTAAACAAGAGGCTTAAATAGCTTCCAATATAGTATGTTGTTGCTATGTGCTGTTGAGTCTCCTGCTACCTGTAGCAACCCTATGTACAGCAGCTCTGAGCCCTTTGCTGTCCTGAGCCAGTCTAATTCTGACACACCAACCCCATTGCCCCAGATAATTTATCAATCCATCTCATCCAGGGTCTTCCTCTCCTGTGCTGTACCTCCACTCTTGGAATCTTTAAATAACTTTAAATACTGCAAAATGAGGGTTGAATTTGTTCTTCAGTTCCTGCAGCTTAAGAAATGTAGAGTAAATTAATCCTTTTTGATTCTCGAGCTCCATTCACTCTGTCTTCCTGCACTGCCTTTTGAAAACTTCTGTTTGGCTCCTTAACTTCTTGCTTCCTTCCTTTCCTTGGGCTTCTCTGTTCTCTAGCGCAATATTCAGAGTGTCTTCAGACCTCTTGCATTCATCATCGATGATATTCTTGATATCCTGCCACAATTCACCTGATCTTTGTTCATGAGTGTCCATGACCTCCCACCTGGTCTTAAGATGTCAGTCTACAGACTAAGGTATGCCTGATCCAAGCTATGGTTTTTATAATTACTTGCTGAGCATCATAGAGCTAAATAAGAATGACAGAAGAATTGATTCCTTTGAATTGTGGTGCTGGAGAAGGGTATTGAACATACCATAGACTGCCAAGAGAACAAACAAGTTTCGCCTAGAGAGGGTTAAACCATGTTGCTCTCAGGAAGCATGAATTTTGAAACTCTGACTCACATAATTTGGAAATATTTCCAGAAGGGATCAGTCCATGGAGAAGGAGATCATGCTTGGAAGGGTGGAGGGACAACACAGGAGAGGAAGACCCTGGATGAGATGGATTGACACAGTGACTGGGGTAATAGGGACAACTGTATTGGAGACAATGAGATTAGGATTAAGGGTAGGGCAAGTTTCAGAGCTATTAGATATAGGTTCACTATGAGCTGCAGGTAACTTCAATGGCACATAACAACAACAAATATGCAACTCGGTCCTGTGATGGGTATGTGCATATGATTTAACAGCAAATTTCTTGAAGCACAAAAATATCTGAGACATATCCATCAAGATTCACATTTCTAACTAGGAATGATGTTTTAAGATGGCCATTTTCATGAGAACTCTAGGCAAAATCCAATTTGTTCTTTTCTCATATCATTCTTCAGTCATGTTGAATTATTTACATTTGTAAAATGCTTTTGTACGGCATCAGTTGAATTTATTGGGGGGGGAAGGCTTTTTTTCCCTTTTTGGCCTACTGATTTGAAACTTTGCTGTATGGGAAACTCCAAATATAACTGCAATTCCTCTCAGTCTGAGGAAATCGTTCAACCCAAAAGTATAAACTGGAGAACATAATTTCAAAAGGTGAGTCAGTTCATTCAGGTAGATAAATTCTTCTCTGAAGGATTACTATAACATACTAAATGATAGAACAAATGGTTTTCTAATCTTTATTTAGGTGGTTTCCATGAATTAAATTATTCATGTCTTATAGAGTAACTAACATTCTGGAGAAATTGGTAAATTGGTGTTTCTTCCACAGATAAATTTTTCATTGTACTTTTATTTTTTTTCATCGCATTTTAAAAATGCAAGCTCAATGATTCAAGAAAAGTTTTCTATTACGCCTCAGACCATTAGTCAAGAGTAATTTATTATGACAACAGTTGACGGATTTATGCCAAATGTAGTTAACTTTTAAAAACAGATACCATCCTGAGATCTGTACTTCAGTTGGAAACAGACGACTGAACCAAATTATATTTACTAACATTCTAGAAGTGGCTTTATATAACTTTAAGCAGTCACTCATTAAGATTTTGTATTATCCTACAGCACTAAACTTTTCATTGGTGTTCTACGTCTAGGTAGATCACTTTGTAATATGTCTATTTGTGTTCTGTATATCATGTTATTATGTAAATCTTTATATTTAATGTCCATTATTTTATCATGTCACAGGTATGCAAGTAGTGTGTGAAGCAAAGCATACACATAGTCCAGCAAGTAAAATGTTCTACTAATGTTGTTTTTAAAAATTATTGTATTTTTTAAAAGGCTTGTGAACAATCCTGCCAAGAATTACATTTTTCATAATGGTTTTCACTTGGTGTAATAATATGCTTATTTTTACTATAAATTACATTCACATGTAAAAACTACTTGATGATCTTGTATGTTAAGGTGAAAAAATAAGCTGGTTTTGAAAATCTACCCTTCGAGAAGCATAAAACAAAGGAATTATTATATATAAAACTTACCTTAGTAGGATATTGACTAATTTTGCTTTAAAGATGAGCACAAACACACTTCCATACATTTAAATTTTTAGATAACTTTCTTGGTTAATGTTTTTACTCATAAATTTGGTAGCGATTTTTGGCTATAAATAACTATTTTTATTAAGACTAAGAACCAATAATAAGTGTACTTTTTAAAAAATAACAATTCTTTAAGCAGGATATCAGTGAAATGATGCTAGAAATAATTTTGGAGATAAAATATCAGAGATACTATGCTTATGATAAAGCTTAAGTATTCACTTATAATACAACTTCTATGTGTTTGGCATCATATCTAAATATTGGCAATGCACTAAAATAGTACTATTCTCTGAACTAATTAATATAAAATTATGTGCAAGTAGCAAACATTGTGATTCAGGTGTCACAAATAGAACCAACACACAAGCACAGTCAGATTCCGTTCATATTGTTAGTCTAACGCAGTAAGTTTGTTGTTTATATGGTCAAGTCAGAAAATAATAGTTACAAATTTCACTAGAGGTTTCTGAACTCAGATTTCTCAACTGATTAGATAATGTGGCTAGTTTACAACCATTTGTATTTTACCCATAAGATTTATTTGTTGGAGATTTTCTGAAAGCTGTGATTTTTAATAATAAAATAAGTTTTTAATTTCAGGCACAAAACTGGTAATAATAATTTATTAAGAATAAAGCTTTGTAATGGTTGATGGAAATCACAAAAACCTAAGTTTATGTTGCTTGTGTAAAGAGGTGAGCCATTGCTGTTGACAACAATAAGATCTCTGCTTGCTCTAGCAGTACACACACTTTGACTTGAATATAGTAGGGAAAATTTACAAAGAAGCAATGCAGTGGTTTGCAAGCTACACACCTCACAAGAAACCATGAACATCCAGGTTCTGAATGGACATGATACAACGTATTTTTTTTAATGAATAAAGAACATAGAAATATCTAAATTTTTCACTTCTTCTTGATGTACTATTGGCTGATCATTTTAAGGTTAATATTTAATGAAAACTGAACATCTTACATATTCTAATTCTCAATAACAGGAGAGAATTTACGTAGACTTTTGAAAAGATCAAGCAGCACTGAAAGAAAAAAAAACCACAATCAAGCAAGAAAACACAGAATTGCCATTAAATCATGCTCAGCATGGTAAGTAAAAAGCAAATTTTTGTTAAAGTTTAATGGTTATTTTAACTGAAGATTTTTTTCTTAAACCTATAAGTTTGAGAAATATTTGTGGCATTTAGAATAAATTACCTTTAGTTATTAGTTATTTCTTTTTATAATGCTTTATTTGAATACTAGTATCTTTATTTTTCAATGAAAATTATGGCATTATGTATCAAACTAAACATTTACAACAGTGTAATTAATATACTATTTATTATAGAATATATTTTAAAACTGTAAAATCAACTCATATTTCATAAAATTGTCCTGGGAAAGCATTTTTAACACATGGTAAGTACATCCAAAATCAATGACGTACTTGATATCTAGGTTATATTGTTTGGTGGAGTTAACAGCACATATATTTTTAAAGCTTTTCCTATTTTGGTTACATTGAAACCCATGTGGCATACTGATTAAATGCTTGACTGCTAACCAAATTATTAGTAGTTCAAAATCACCAGCTTCTCTGTAGGACTAAAATGTCTGCTTCTACGAAAATTTACTGCCTTGGTAACTTTATGAGCCAATTCTGCTCTGTCCTATGGGGGCTCTATGAGCTGGAAGTGACTCAAGGGCAAGCAGAGTGGGAAGGGTTTCCTTCTCTTACTGTATTCTAATTTGGTTATTCATACATTTACAATCACACATAGAACTCCCACGTCTCTCCACCATTTTGTTTTGCACGCATCTTGCCAATAACTCTCCATGGCTCATTTTCTAAATCTAGAAAGAGTGAAAAAAGTTTTCTTTTTCAGAGTTTTCATGTATGCTACACCTACTTTTCAGAGTCTTGACAAGAAGAGTTAAATTATTGTGTATAAGTATACATGGAAGAATGGCAATATAATAAAAAATGACACATTCTTTTTGGTTGTATAATACATAAAAGATTCAACACAAAACTTTTTTTGGTAAGTTAGTTTAACCTACAATGAATAGAGTAACTTAGTCATCTTGATAAATTTACTGTTTAATGTCAGCTGTCCAATAAACTTAGAGGACTCAAAGGAAGATAGCTTGAATTTCTCATTAGTTTACGTCACTTGTGTAAAGGGGTAAGCTGAGAAGATTCTCTCTTCTTGACAACACTTGAAAATTGACCCATAATAATTACTGAGATTAAACTTCAGTGTATTTTATAAAAAAATATTACTTTCACAGAAGTGAAGAGATACAATTGCACAATGGTGGTTACAATGGTAGAAATACATATTGCCAAGAAAATGTTAGCAAGAGATTTTAAAAATGACTGTACAGCACCGCATCAGAGAATTGTATAACAGTAAAATGATTAACATTGTTTTTCTAAATAAATAACATCATCAAATATTTCTTAAATTAATGAAAGTATTCTTTTTCTAAGTCCCACTAAAACATTTTCTGATGTGGAGCAAAATATATTTAAAAAATGACAGAATACCAAGAAAAAGACATTCATGCATTTAAGCCACCATTAGTCTCTGACTCTAATATAAGGCAGAACATTAATCTTTTGCAAATCTATGACTTAGCCACTTAAACTTTGTTTAGTGCTTTTCATGACAAGGACACGGTAGGCCTTGTAAATTTATAAGTTAAGATGTGTTTCCACCAGGCTACTTTAGACAAGTTCAGCTGTTTTGTTTTGTTTTTTTTGAAACACAAACTTTACAATAAATATGCTTTGGAGAAATGATGACAAAGTTAAAGAAAAAAACCCAGATGGGGTTATAAAGAGATTATCACAAATGACACTGTTTCTATCAATGAAGAATAAAAAAAAATACTCGCTTATGTATCATCCTCAGTCTTAATGATGTGGAACAGGGTGACATTGAACAGGACCTGGTGGCCATTGTTCCAGGCATAAAGAGCTCTATCTCTTGCATTGTAGTCAAGCATGGATATGTGAAAGTATTGGTTATGGAAGGGAATGTCTGTATACTCATAGGTGGAGGTTTTGGTGGAATAGGAATAGTACACCTTGGCTCCAGTTAAATGGGAGTTGGTAACATACAATGTCCCGCAGATCATGAAAGACTCTCCTGCACTTCTCTTGGGATAACCAGTGCTCCAGCTCTTCATCACCTCCAAGGTATCTTGGTTAAGTTGGCTGATGACGATATTGCCTGCATTCTGGTTAGTCGCGTACACAGCCCACAGCCCGATTTCATCAGCCATTAGGTCAATGTCAGAGAAGCCACCCCACGTGTAAGGGTAGACATTGTGAAAGCCAGCATACTCCAGGCTTCGCTGGGCAAGTACTCTCCCCAGATCAAAGCTGTACTTGATGATGATGTTACTCTGATACTTGTTAAAATAGAGTGAGCCATTGTAGACGACATGGTTAGTGCCAGCCCATTTGAAAGGGAGGTTGTATGTCCTCGATTCAGCTCCACTGATAAAGTCTGCCATTGATTTGTACTCACGGACAATTTTATTGTTAGTGTAACTGTCCATGTACCAAACCTGAGTAAAAGGAAAAAAAAATAAATGAAGTAAATAAATTACACACTTTCCTTAGGTTTCCAAAAGGGCAGTGAGTATAAGGATATGAAAGATTAAGGGTACATTTAGTCTATAGACTCTTAATCATCTTACTGCATAGGTTGTAAAATGCTATTGTATAGGAACAATCTGTGGAGGAAAAAAGTGAACTTACTGCCTTGAAGTGAATTTGCTTTTTGTTGTTTTCTTTTTGAATATATGGCACAAATAACTGAGTGAAACAGGCATATATCAGTGCTAATCAAATAATTTCCTTTACTTGATAGATCATTGTGGTCATTTATAGTTGCAAACCCCCACAATTGCTTCTATCAAACTGCCAATTATATTTATTCCATCCCTTGCTCTGGTAAAGGTCTAACCTGATGTTATATATTCAGCTCTTTCTACCTTATGAGTACCATAGAACCTTCCAGTAATATTTACTCATATTTGCTGGACAATTTTATAGGTACTGGTACCTTTTTGATGAAAGCATGTTAGTAATTTCATAACCAATCTCACTTGTATATAACCCTCAAGAATTTTAATTTATGCTAAGTTTTACAAAAGCTTTGTATAAGTAAAGCTTTGGTAAGTTTCCAGCATGTTGATTTACATAATACAGGAATAGTAAATTTATGGAAATACCCCCAGAAGTTTCAGTACTATTTCTTTTGAAGTTAAAATCAGCGATAATTTTAGCTTGTTTAGTGAAATGGCTACTTCTTATGACACATTATTATTTAACTACAAGGTATAGGCTTTAGAAAGAGTATATAGGGATTTAGTCCCTTTCATTCACTGATCATAAAACAAAAATAAAAACAATAAATGTTAACGCTGGTGGTCCAGTGGTAAGAAGCTGCACTATAATCCGAAGGCATGGGCTTAGAACACACCAGCTGTTCTGTGGGAGAAGAACGGCACTCTCCTCCTTTGTGTGAACTACTTCTGGAAGCCTGCTGGAGGGTCAGCCCTGGGTGATTCTGAATCAACATACTGGTAAACTAGATGAAAGAGTACTTCACCAAACTAAGTTTGTCATTTATCTTTGGAGATGTTAACACTATCAAACTGAAGATATAAACAAACAATGTAATCCTTTCTAAAGGGTAATTAATGTTCTTGAGAAACATACATAGTCCAGAAGAAATAAAAAGTAAATAAAATATAATGAATAAGAAAAGATGTTTGTTGAAGCAATGAACCTACTCTGTTATTTTTCTCAGATGCTAATGGATCTGTCATCCAAGCACCAAACCGTGTTCCAGATGTCTTGACTGTAATTGGGCCAGTGATTTTCATCAATTTGCCGCATGCTGAAATCAGAGAAGCAGAATCATATCAGGTGAACATGACCAATGATTCAACATGTATATTCATACCAAGAGCAAAGAAAGTTCAGGGGATTAAGTTCACACATAAACGATCACTCTGAATTAGGTGCTCAGGATTTAACAAATGTTTGAGTCATATTATCAATACTCACAATCTAAATGTGATATTTTAAAATAGGAAATAACTTGTACAATCCAGAGAGAAACAGATTAGTCATTATTAATATACCAATTCAGCAGGTGCTGCCTCTAAGTTCAGAAGTCAGAAAAAAAAATATATTGTTCATGAGTGTTCACCTACCTGATCACTTCCCTTTCCCTACATGTTAAAAAAATATACATACTTGTACACCAATGTTCATAGCAGCATTATTCACCATTGCAAGAATTTGGAACCAGCCCAGATGTCCAACCACAAATGGATGCTTTGAGAAGTTGTGGTACATTCATACAATGGAATACTGTGCAGCACGCAGGATAATCATTTTGTAAATCACTACCTAACTTGGGAGGGACTGGACAGCATTATGCTGAGTGAACCATCTCTGTCCCACAAGGACAAATACTGTATAAAACCATTATTGTAGAATGAGTATAAGGATCCAAGGTGGGGGGTGGGAGGTGGAAATAGAGAGGTGAGGATGGGAGGAGGTAGGGTGTTAATCATAGGGTTGCACAATTTGATGGGTGGGTGAGGTAAAGGAAATTGGAAGTATATTTTGTAAAAAACAATGTATTCAAAGTTTGTAAATAAATCAGAGTAAGATTAAAAAACCTAACACACACACACACACACACACACGCTTTGTGACTATGTATATCTTATGCAAGCCAAGAAGAATTTTACAAACTGCTTATAAATTTTCATTTACTAGTGAGTAGCACTTTAAGGAATTTAACAAAACAATGATTTATGTTTTACTTGAAAGAAAAGTAAAGCGTTGAAAGGCAAAACACCTTGTGCACAAGCAGATTTTGATACAGCAGATAATTACCATACAAGGAAGGGGGGGAAGAGACTTCGGTTCCTGCAGGCACATGTGGGGAAAGACTTAGTGTATGAGGAGAAGCAGTAAACTATAAAAACCTAATCACATTCTTAAAAAAATGGAAATTAATACTGTTACCATCCTGTGAAGCAGATCACAGGAAAGTTCAGTTCTCCATAAATGATAAAGTCTAAACCAAATAGGCATTAATATATTTTTGTGAGATTTTGAAAAAACAATATTTGAATGTAATTTACCAAACATATTATAAAGGCAATGTGAAAGGCAATTAATTTGATTGCATTTAGTTGTTGGCCTTTGGTCTAAAGAAAGCAATATACTTTCCTTACCATTTATATTTCTCTTATTTTTGCATTTGTTGTACTGTTTCCCTTTTCTCTAAATTCCCTTTGCTTGTCTCCAGAAATGATAAATTTCCAGTCAGTTCTTCCTGACTGTTTAGAAGGAAAAGTTGTGATGCAATCCCAAGGCAAACAGTTCAAATCCACCAGCTGCGCTGTGAAATGATAGGCCATCTCCTTCATGCAATTTACTGCCTCTGAAAACCCTCTATAGGGTCAGTTATGAGTTGATTCCAACTCTATGGTGTACTACAACAACAACAAAACAAATCAAGGAATAGAACTAACTTTATTCCATTATTTTTGACAGTTATTTTTATTACATATTGGTTTGCATAAAAATTCATATACATTGTGTTTCATTTATATATTTTGTGTCTCATATAATCATTCTCATACATTTTACTTGATAAATAAACTACTATTGTTCCAAACTAACCATTACCCCAACTTTTCAAGTTCCCACTGGAACTTCTTGCTATTTTTATTTTTAAATCTTATGGTAATTTGGGTATAAGCTGAGATAAAATTGGTTATACATTAATCAATTCATAGATGTTTTGCTGTGACATTGATCGCAATCCCCTCAATTTAAGAACAGCCCTCCACATTCTCCTTGCATTTCCCATTTCCATGCATCTTACCTTATTCTTCTCCTGCCTTCTGAGCTCTGTGCTCTTTTGATCTCATGCAGTTGGTTCAATAAGTGTTTCAGTGCTATTTTTAACTTTATGTTGATGTAGTATTAGGTATCATTAGTTGTGATTCATAGTAATCCTATAAACAACAGGTAGAACATTCTCCTATCTTGTGCCATCTTCACATTCTCTGACATGTTGTAAGGACTGACGCCTCCTTACAACATGCTCAATGAGTGTGAAACAGTTTTGAAATCTTTGTCTCCAAGAAGCACCCTGGTTGAACTTCCTCAAAAACAGGTTGGTTTGTCTTTTGAGTCTATGTTATACTTAATACTCTACACCAAAAGAACATTTCATGGGTGTTACTTCTTCTTTTACATTTTTTATTCCTATTGCAAATTTCATGAAGTAATTTCATGAACATGAAGAAATGGAAAATATCATGGCTTGGATAGTGTGCACCTTAGTCTTTACATTTATATCCTTACTCATCAGTACTTTATAAAAGTCCTTGACGTTAGATTTTCCCAATGCAAACAACTTTTGCTTTCTTGACCACTGCTGCTATGGGTATGGATTGTGCATTCAACTAAAGTTAAATCATTAGCATCTTTCCTCCTACATCCTGATACCTATGAGGATTTTTGCTTTCTTGATGTTTTATGTTAATGTGTAACCCTTATTGAATGCTGTATTCTTTGATCTTTTACAAGAAATGCTTCAAGCCTTATTGACTTTCTGCAAGAACGGTGGTGGCATCTGGATAATGCAGAATGTTGATGAGTCTTCCAATCCTGAAGACACATTTTTGTCCAACTTCCGCAATTATTTCCTCAGCATATAGATGTAACAGGTATGAAGAAATGATATAACCTTGATACACATCTTTTCTGAATCTAAATCATCCAGTATTGCCTTTGTTCTTTTTAAATGACCAATTCTTATTCTATATACAGGTTTCTCATTAGCACAACTAAGTACTCTGGAATTTCCCTTCTCATCCTCTTTAATAGGTCTTCCTTGTATGTGTCTGGTTATTGTCCTATCAGTAGCATTTTACTTCAGGTTACAACTCGAAACAATCTAATTGATGAGGAATGCAACACTATTCCTTTTTGATTTGTTCTTCTCAGTGTAGAAGATCATAGAATTATATTATTCAAAATACTCTATATCAGTCCCTCTCATCTCACAAATGCTAAGATAGCAATCTCCTTACACTGCATTTCATTTTGGGAACTTTTCCTTTTCCTACATTCATACTTTATACATTCTACATTAAAATTATTAAAGGAATATTTACCACAGCTTATCCTCATTTTGATATTTGCCACACCAGCAATAAAAATCCTTCATCAGATGAAACCATTACTCTATCCACATCAATATATTAGACTCTCTTTGAAGGAAGACATAGAACTTTTAAAGGTTTGTCTATTATTTTGCTGAAAGTTGAGTTACAGATAAGAGTTCAGAGTCAGGCATGAAGGTTGCCTTCATGCACAAGTCTGAAGGATTCGACTAATTTCTATCACACTAATAAATCTAATCTTTTCTCATTACTGTTCAGGTTTTGAATTTTGTTCAATATTTTGCACATTCTTTCAAGGATCTCCTTTTGTGACCCCGTTTATGGTAATCAGACAGTAGTAGTCATGGTAGGCAGTAGCTAATTCTGGGTTCAGAATCATGGAAACAGAAGTTTGTGTGGTCTAGTAGTTTTTTGTATTCATCGTTTATATATACAAGTCTTTGATCTTCTTCATTCTTCTTAATAAGGAGATACCAATGGCCTTTTAGTTGGCCCTTCATGTAGAACACTGTCTTTGTGTCCTTTGTTATGCCCCTTGGCATAATGTTCCTGGAGAAAACAAACCTGAGCCACTAGATACATTAATAACCCATTCCTGCAAGTAGTTTGGTTATTGTTAAGAGATTGTCATAGCTTTGACTTTGTATGTTATACTTTGTTAATTGATACATTTTTTAGCACATATAAATGTATAGGAGCACTGGTGGCTTAGTGTTAAGAATCTGTGCTGCAATCCCGAATGCATCCAGTTCAAATCCACCAGCTGCTGCTTGGTAAAATGATGGGCAATCTCCTCTCAAGAAATTAAGTGCCTCTGAAAACCTGCTGGAGGGTAAGGTATGGGCCAGTTCTGACTCAGTGGTACTCAACAACAAAATCATAAATGTATGTATAAAAATAGCCTCCATCAAACCTATATTATATATTTATGAATGCAGTTCTATTTGCTTTCTCATTCCTGTTCAACTTGGCTGTCTATAGATCCACTCGCAGATTACTACAAGTTTTTTTTAACTGCATTTTCTTTTATTTTTGTTGTTAATTATAGTAGTATTTACTTTTACTGCCTTTAAATCTTGTTTTCCTCTTAGTGTCTTCCTTTGGTTTCATGATTTTCACTGATCTCCTTATTATACACTACCTTGCACTTGTTTCAATTAATCTGTGTCTACCTTCATCCTCTTTTAACACCCCCATCACTACCTTAGATAACTTTCAAAAATGTTTCTTTCTATAAGTAAACATATTCTGGATTTTCATAACACTGGGCTCTTACCATATTCATCTTTTAGTGATAGACTAATTTCATTTCTTAGACTGTGACATAGTTAATTTTACACGAAGCTTACCTTGGCTGTTTTATTCAAATAAATTCCTCAAAGGAGTATTTCATAACTGGCAGAAAATGAAAATATATAAATATGACTTCTACAACTACAAATTTAGTAACCTGGCACTAGATGAAACCTGAATTGAATTTATTTTTGTTCTTTATAAAAGAAACTAGATATGATGGCAACCTTATATAGTGAATTACTTATTATTCCCTCAAAAGTCATATATCAGGCAAATAACTTCAGAAGACTTTATAGCATTATTTATTATGTCTAGAAAGACCTTAGATTAAACCTATTTAGCTATATCAGCTCCATTTAGTAAGAAGACATGGACAATATAT